CATCACCGATTCGCTAATTTGCCATCAGCTTTGTATTATCAATATAAATACAGTTCAGGCAAAGAACGTCAATGTTTGTGAATGCAGTTTTATCTCTGCCATCACATTTGATCTCTTATATATCTACTATAACTCAATTTTTTCATCGTAGATGTTTCTTCGATGTTGTCAGATTTTACAGCCGATGTGTAGTGAAACGCCCGTTACATTGTGTCACTTAATAGACATACTAAAGTAAATGTTATCATTCTGTATGTAATACCGTAAGTTTTAAAATGAGATATATGTAAATTAGGCTCATCATTCAATATTGGATCATATAGCGTACTGTCAATGGTGGACGCGTTTAATGGGTGACAAGCAATATTTGAATAAAATAGCGAATTATTGAATCGTGCTGTCAGTGTTAACAACGTTTAATGGTTTACTAGCATATTTTTTATTAGAGTATCGATATACATTGTACGTATATAATTCATAATCGAGGCTATATCAAATGTCGCAAGAATCTTATAATAATATATTCTTACATGTTTGGTAAGTCTAGCCCTACACTTGCTCAATTTTTATGCACATAAATGTGCGTGATACGACAGATCACCTGCATGAGTTGTTTGTATAGTAAGTCAGTAGCACTATGATGACGAATGCGACTACGACGCACAATATATGATATGAAAGGGCGCGGTTAATGTAAAGGTACGTCCAATGAGCTCGCTTAGAATCACATTGACTAATTAATTAACAATAAGAATTAACGGGATCAATTACCTTTTCGATACTTTTAGGCCTTGTGCACATGATACCATTGTAAATTGTATAAAAGATATACCTAAATCGATGACGTGTTTTCAAAAGCACCTCGACGGATCCAGCTCTAAACGCATCTCTCTTCTGTAGCGGCTAATCTACCAGGGTAATACTTATATGCCGAGCTTTCTGGAACCCGTATAATATGTTTCAAGGTCCTAGTCATTGGCGATCTTCTGGAACCCCTGAAAAACCAAATGCTTGAGAGTAAATATTAATGAACCTTACACTTGAATGAGTTTAACGCATAACGAGCACTGTCATCGACTCAATAGTGGTTTTTAATGGTGATGGTGTAATAAATTTGGAAAGTTCCAATGCAACTAAAACGTTTTGATAAGTTCCTTCCAAGCTTGAATAAGTTCAATATATTTCTCATCGGCATCGAAATTTGGTGAATTGAAAGTAAATATAATTTGTTCGAAGCCGACAAATATCTACAGCATCTCACAAATGATAACGACCACTGATGATTTTTTATAGATTGACTTCTATCCGGCCTATCAATAATGAAGTGTAAAGGCCGATGTTTTAAGGTTGAAAGATCTTTAAGGCACTAGAAGCTGGGTTGATAAAATTAAGGACATACATACATCACTTTTACTGAATGAGCTTGATGTAACCGTCACGACGTGTTTTCGTTAGCATGACGTACTAGCTACGACGTTCGATGTGCATGATAGCGGTTAATATACACTATGTCAACTATGCTATCGATACATTGCTTTATATAATGATTGCCACTTTATCCTCGGCGTGTTCGTTGTTCTATAACCTGACCGAAAAAATATATTCTTACAAAGACTTCTCTCGAACCTAAAGCGTCGAAAGAATTCAACATTTATGTTGCACTTCTTTATTATTGCTTTTAATAATGTCGACAGAGTTATGAGAACCAAATACTCAGTTGATGTGGTTCACTACAGCGTCAATTTTTTTGAACACACAGCCAACAAATAAGATAATGAATGAAGTGTTTTATTTTTATACCTTATAATCTATAATTCGTTTTGGGTGACATCCCTCATTATACGATGATTAATAAAAAAATTGATGTAGTAGTGGCTATACATCAATGTGCATGCAAACGAAATAACGGTTCAACATTACATGTCTATCTCATCTGCTAGAATACGAAGAAATTTTAAATCGAAATCTAAACAGCCGAAGAGCTAATGTTATCACACGATAAAATACAACAAACGAAAATAGCCGGATACGACAAAGAATATCCGCAGATTAAATACATTGTAATTAGCGGTCGGAAGGTATCAGAGTGAGTAAGCAGTGAAAATTAGGTTAAACTCGTACTTCGTTACGAAATTTGTAAAATCACTTAATTATAAGTTTATATTACTGAATTTATGTCGCTTGTAAATATAACCTTTTTTCGGATCGTTGGTGGTGACTAATACTCCGCTCCCTTTTGTCCTGTAATACATTTAACTGCATCAACATAGTGGAAGGTTTAAGAATTTTTGAGAAATGAACGAAGTCTAAGAAAATGGAATTCGAAATTTAGGGAAAAGTCCCGTTATGTGACAACTAGGCATCATAATGCACAGGACCAAATCGAGGACCTTGTACGACAGAAAAAGTGATACTATACACGGAAATGTGTACAGACATGGTTGCAACAGGATGTTTACTTTCATAAATACATGCTAGTGCTGCATTTGCACCGCGACGTGAAGATTGATTATATTAATATTTATATTTGCCAATATCACGATTAAAGCATTGAGATTGCCACTGAAAGTATGTATTTTTTGTACACATTCCTCGGTTGATTCAAAATACACCAGCAGTGCATATCACATATTCAATTAATAAATGCTAATTTTTTTAAGGACCGGCCAGAAAAAAGATGATGTTGTATGTTCTCAATAAGTCGAAAGATGATTTAATATTTAACAATTCTTTTTAACAAAAATCCTTTTTGACTTAAGATAATCACACAAAAAAAGGTCTGTCATTTGTTGTCTTTGACGAGTGAGCATCTGCAAGCATATAAATGTCTATACACACGCCTTGGATTTAATGGCAAGGGTCTCTTTTGCCGTGTTGCTATAGCTAAAAGGGTCAAGGTCTATGATAGTTTTTCTAAAAAATTAAAGAATAATTGATAATCGCATTCGTATTTTGCTACATTACACGTGTGTCGGTTTTCCGAATAATCTGCTTCACATATTAGTGAATGGAATATCTTGATAAAAGTTATGTAACGCCATTAATGTACGACACAGCAATGGGCACGAGCCATGTAATGCCGACCAACTCCCATCTGAAAACTCAAGGACCTAACCATCAATGTCACTTCTACACACTTTCACATCAGCACATCAATCAAGTAAGACAAATAGATTTGTAGCACTGTACGCGACACATAAACAAACAAGTCCACTGAGATACTTTTTAAAAAGCGCCTAAGCACCCTTTTAGTCTTGCCTTTTGAGGAGTGGCGAAACATTACTGGATTTTTCGTGTAGGGAAACAGAAATTGATCGAACCTACACGTACGTGTCTATTTAAAAAATCATGTTGTGAATCGGGTCGTTTTGACTTACAGCGGTGTAATTTATTTATTATACACACCATTATTTTTTGGTATCAACATAGTGGCTGTATAGAGATCTCCGAAGAATTGGCACATCTGTTGCTGTCACTTTTTTCCATGTGCTTGTGTGTTTACGCATATGTTTATTTCCACGACCAGAATTTGTTTTTTCTTTTAACGATTTTTCGACTGTAAAATGCCGTTAAAGCATGTAAAATTATTATTGGTAGAAAATAAAATGTGACATAGATTCTATATAGTATGCATTACCAAGTGGCAAATACTTTTGCGATGCACCACGAGACCTAACATGTTTTCCACAAGTATGTATAATAAACCTTTACACATACTGATCTGTCTAGAATACTACCTACGCAAATTACAGAACTGCCTGCATCCGTTTTTATTTTTATAGCAAAAATGAAGGTGCCATTTATACAATGTTTTAAATTCCTAGATTTGAATCTACTATTTAGCTGGGTAAGTGGTTGGAATGATGGAGAATGAGTTATTTAACTGTGCTCGACACAGTCCAGCGTCTATGATTCTTCCTGGTGTGCTGATTCGACGCTTGCGTTTAGCCTAGCCGTGACTATTATTATACATGTACGTACGGGCAACTAGAAGCTCACAATGGCATATTTGATGGTTGGGATATTTCTGCAATATTTTAAGTACTTGCACGCTGCTGGGTGTCGATCATCAAATGGCCGCAAATTTATGATAGCATCTAAGGTGATGCAGCTGCTGATTTGCACCCAATGTTTTTAAGTTTGTGTTGATAATTATAAATGACACGAATACCTTGCAAAATTGTGCCATCTTCGAATAAAGCATTTCTTACTTCAGAAAGCATGGTACATGGACGGCAGATTGGTTTTTGCAGACCTTGTGTCCTTCGCCATGAGAAGTAGCATAGGGCAGTTGAAGCTCGCCTAATCAGCACATAATTTGTATTGAGTGAGTTTGCTCGAGGCAGGGAGGAACTGGGCAGTATCGACCCATGTGGTATAAATAAAAATACTCACCTTTGCGTACACTTTTAACGTTGACATGAAAACATGTGCGTCCGAGATCAAATTGCATCGACGTCGAGCACTGCTGAATAAGCCAAGTGTCTTTTTATGATTAGATATGGCCGTAAGACTTTACGTCCGCCGTGCGTACACAGTCTTTTATACTTGAGTACGCGTCTAACTTGACAAGGCACGATAAACCACTATAGGCGGTTATTTTGCAGGTGACCGTCGCTTATTTAGTCAAATTGCGCATATCTTCTCATACCGTTCATCGTTTGTAAAAACACCTCAATTTCATCGTGAAAAGTCATCGTCTTGGGAAGTCCGAAAAACACAGATAAAAGAGGCGTAGAATTATCCTGTGTCTGCCGCTTTGAATACGCCACTTCAGCTCTATTTACGTCTCCGTCAACGCGATGCGCGTTCCGCATGCTCCTGACCCGACTTGAAGTTCGCCATTCTCCACGCGTTCCCATTGGCTCCAAGCGGACGTCTGCCCTTCTCACCGTGAAGCGCCACGCATTCGGATCGCAAGAACGTCTCGAGCTGTCAATCCATCGAGCGCTCTCTCTCTCTCTCTCCGCCCCTCCCGTCTGTCCGTCCGTCCGTCCGCAATGCCCGCGTCCCCTCCCGACCAAGTGGCGTATCTGCGCTCGCTCCCGTCCGTGCGCGACAGCTGCCACCGCGTCCTGCGACTCGCCCAAGAGGACCGACTGCCCCATTTTGCAGTGGTCGGGACGAAAGTGCCGGCGCTGGCGGATTACGTCATCCGCGTGATGCGGCAGTCGTACCCGAACGAGGCGCTCGTCCCGTTCCACTCGCGCTGGCGCCACTTTGAGACGGGCGATCCGCAGCGCGTGGAAAAGATGACGTCAACATGGCACTGCCACGAGCTGGAAAGGGCGCGACGATTGGTCGACTTGGCGCTCGTCAGCGTCTTACTGGACGCCGGCGCGGGCTCTTCGTGGCGGTACCGAGAGCCTGAAACGGACGACTGCTACAGCCGCAGCGAGGGACTGGGCGTCGCCAGCTTGCACATGTTCCTGGCCGGCTGTTTCTCCGCCGACCCGACTCACGAGCCCCATCGAGTGGACGCGCAAGCGCTGACGCACCTGGCAGACGATGCAGTTGCTAGAGCTTTTCAAGTGGTGAGAGGCACTTTTGTGTGTGTATGCCATGGAGGTTGGCATGGTCTGACTCTGATGTGTGTCTGTCTGCGCCACTGGAAATCAACAGACAGAGACGAATCCGCTACTCGGCTGTAGTGGACGCACGGATCTGCTCAAGGTAATGGTGACCGTTACTGATTCCTTCGCCCATGTGCGAGCACGTAATTCATTAGCCCCATCCCGCTGACACTGTGTCTGTGTACCGCATGATGTAGCGTCTAGGGACGAGCATAGCCAACTACCCAGAGTTTTTCAAAGGAACTGACGGATCGATTCGGCCTGGCAATATGGTGGACTACCTGATGAAATGCCAAAGCGCCAGTCGAGAAGTATCGATTACGGAGCTGTGGAAGGTGGTAGTCTACGGATTGCAGGACATTTGGCCCGAGAGCCGGACGCGCATTGATGGCCAGAACATGGGTGACGTGTGGGAGTTACCGTACGTGCGAGGCTTCAATGACGGGGGGGGATTTCGCAATGACGAGTCCGAATGGCACTAATGGAAGTCGTGGTACTTTTGCGACCAGTTACTTACCGGAACACGAAAAAGCAGGCAGATTTGTGAGTTTTCACAAGCTATCGCAGTGGTTGACATATTCGCTCCTGGAGCCGCTTCAGAACGCCGGGTTGACGATAACTGATCTCCAACTGATGACTGGTTCGTTGGTGTTCACCGTTACTATATTCACTGCGTCACTTGAAATATACGAGTTCATGTCTTCTGACACGTAATGTTGGTAGGGTTGCCCGAGTATCGCAATGGTGGACTTCTGGTGGACTTCGGTGTGCTCGTGCCCAAGTCATCAAGCACTCTTACCGACGAGTTTAGCCCAAGCGCTGAGATGATCATCGAATGGCGAGCTCTCACTGTTGCACTCTTGGACGAGCTGCACACTGTGATCTTGGAGCGTCTTAACTTCACTGCCGAGATTTTCCCGCTGGTCAAGGTGAATTCATGTATGTTCTCCTGTAGTGCTATCAAGTGATGATGGCCTATTTGTATGTACCATGTAGATGCTCGAAGGTGGTACTTGGAAGGCTGGACGAGTCATTGCGAGCGAGAAACGCACAGACGGTGGACCTCCCATCAAGATCAAGAGCGACGGCACTGTGTTTTAGCTCACGTTGCTCCATGGATGCAGTCAGTCTTTTGTCGGCTAGACGAGACGCAATCGCCACTTCTCACGAACGCTTTGCGTTGCCCGAAAGCTTACAATATTGCATTTCTTTTCAACGCTTTACGGCAAGTGGCGATCGTCGTTCAGCCGTGTCAACTCTCTACCAAGCCGTCATCATCCATATGTCGTAGAAATGTCGTTCGCATGAACTGCAATGTCGATGTTCGTAGCTCAGCTGATCCGAAACAGCGCCACCGATTCGCTGATAAAGAGATCGACAGCAACTTAGAGTGGAGTGTAGTGCTTGTAGTATGAGGACCAGGAACGGATGGACTGAGCTCACCGCACCGTCATGGACGCAGTCGCCAAAGTTTACAGGCTCAAAGTGACTGCATCGGGGTACATTGTTTGCAAGGTCATGTGCACTCAATCGTTTGTACCTTTTGACGGATGCGACATCGCTGCTCTGCTGTGCGAATGTGTCACATACAGCTGAAAAAGGTGTGACCCGTGGGGCTTTCTGAGTTGAAAGGAGTACAGTCTCGACGGCAACAGTCTCCACGTTCTGAGACAAATTGAAATTGACTGCTGCCGCTCTGTTTTTCTGCATCCAAGAAAGAATAAGAGCTCGCACTCACATGCGTGTACACCGCATGGTCACTGAAGTAATGATCTCGAAGTGATGGCGGCACCGTTTTATTATCCAAAGTGGGCATCCATTCGTATGTCTACAGTTTCTAATTGTTCCAGCCTTTCCAAGCAGTCAGCTGTTCAATACGATACTTGTGACAGCGATCACTTGAACAGAATAGACACCGATTGATAACGTACGATTGGTGGTGATCCCCGAAGTAAGTAGCTGACTATTAATAAAGGCGATGTGTTGCATGGTCTGTCAGAGTACCACTGATAATCACGGGCTGGAGCCTAATTTGCGGCCAGAATATGGAGAGGTTACTTCCACGCTTGCTGAGTGGGGGTTGCAAGGGTTTCGTACCAATAAAGCTACGTCTTCCACCTCGCTACATCCTTTCGTCATACTTGCAGTAGTGAACTAGCGAACCACTCATTACATATACCTTCAAATACAGCGTAGATACGCAAAACTCACAATGTCCTGAGAACTGATCGAAGCACGAAGGAGGCTATGTGACCTAAATGTAGCGGTGCAGCGGTCGGGAACGAAGTATTTTTACAAACATATACTCGCTTCAGCATTCTCGTACAAAGGCCATCCTCATTGTCAAGCCAGCGCACGTCAGCCCCATAAGCGGTACGGACAGATGTCCACATTCTTTATTTCATAGAAGCGATGTAGAGTGAAATATACTTTGCACTCAATCTTAAAGAATAGAAAAAGAGTCATTACAAAGAGCGATCTATTTCACATTACAAAATAAGCCGTGCTCTACAGGATGAGGAAAAGTGCTCTACACAATATGAACTATCAACTGATGCACCAATCATGAAAAGCAGTGACTGCGCAATGTATACTACAGCTGAAAAACATCCGTAAAAGCAAAAAATGAAAGTGTTAGCCTTGTTGTAACGGGGCAGCCCGTTACATGGAAATTGTCATTTGAGAGATAATGACAATAAAAAATATCATATTGAATATTCTTTTAACAATATCACCAATAGTGGTGATATTGATGGGTCGACCAAAGAGTCTGCTCATTGGTTGATATCTTGACGATATCAACCCACCAATCGCCGCAAGACGCGCACAATGAGTGGTGAGTAGACGTCGTCATACATTCGGTTAGATCAGTATAATCAAGTTAAGTCAAAAAGAGAGACAGTGGTTAAAGACATAATTATATTAATATAACAGTTTTACGTTCCCCTTATCTATGCTTCCTCGTTGCCTCGTGTACGTCAGTCGGGCGCACCGAAACCCTTGCGTTAAGTTCACGCAAGGGTGTGCCCCGTTACACCTGGTAGCACTTTGTAGTCCTTCTAAGGACCACAGCATCCAACATGAACATGTTGGATGATGAAGAGACCTTTCACGCCACGCGTGAAGGGTTTACCCATTTGAGTGACATCGAATGGAGTGCGGTAGAACGAATGAGTTCTACCTTAGGCGAGTTCGCCATTAGCGCCATGTTGGAGTCTCTAGACAGAGACCAACTTCATGCCGATATGGCCAAGTTCATTCATCATGAACTTGTCGCCGAAAGGGAGAAAGTAGCCTTGCTTCACCAGCAAGGCTCTCAACAGGCCGAGCAGTTGAGAGAACTCGGTGCTCAACAGACAGAGCTGTTGAGACAGCAGCAATTCCATGCTGCTGTGGGCGGGACGGCACATGCGCGTCGTCCCGAAGCCATGAATGTTGACATGTCCAAGTACAGTGGAGTCCCGGAAGATTCCCCGTAACTATGGTTTGTCGAACTCGACAGAGCCTTAAGGGCTCGTCGCGTCGAAGATGAGCAAATGAAACTCACATTTGCTCAGACCCACTTGGCAGGGCGTGCCAAAACTTGGTCCCTGGGGCTCGAGAGTAGCGACCCACATGTGTTTAGGTCGCTAGATGACTTCAAGTCCCGGCTCAGACAAACGTTTGAGCCGCCACGGGCTGAGTTCAGGGCTCGTTAGGAGCTCCTGAAACTCAAGCAGGGTAAGCGTGATGTGCACGCTTACGCTCAACATATACGACTCCTCGCGAGTAGTATATCTGCCAACCCAGTCCATGAACACACGTTGATTACGGTATTCATGCAAGGGCTCGCAGAAGGGCCCGTCAGGAGCCACCTGTTCCGCCTTGAGCTGAATACGCTGGAAGATGCGACATCAGCCGCGGAACAGGAAGACTTTAGCATGAGACAGGCTCATGCTAGCTCAAACTCTTATCGTCCACCAAGACGACAAGAGATCGGAGGTCCGGAACCAATGGACCTCTGCTATGTTGAGAGCGAGAGACCTCGCTCTTCAAACAACAAGCGATTGCAGAGGTGCAACCGCTGTCAGAAGTTAGGGCACTACGCATATAAGTGTAGTGCTCCACGCCCATACCAAACAGTACTGAGCGAAATGGTCGTCCATTTGCCAGAAAGGGCAATGGGAGTGGTTCCAGCGCTGTTGCGGTTTCGCAACATCAAAAAATGGTCGGGGTCAGTAAGGGCGGAGCGCCCTACTGATCCAGCAACCTCAAGAGAATTTTCAAATCTCTTGACGAAAGTTGCTCCAGATACACACTCATTGTGTGTCTCTGCACCTGGTGATGACGCTTCGCTCATCACCTCGAAGTTGGGAGCGACAAATGATTTGTCACTGCGTGCCCTAGTAGACTGCGGGGCGTCGAACAACTTTGTTTGTCTCCAGTCACTAGAGGGTCGTTGGCTCAAGTTCGTTTAGCGCGACATTCCCCTCACGAGGATGACGGTGCGCCTTGCAACAGGCGCATCGATTACTGTTGAGAAACGTGTAGTAGGAATCCACTACAAGTTAGAGGGCGAACAGTACGATGATGACTTCATCGTATTGGATCTGGATGACAAATTTGATGTCATCCTGAGATTACCTTGGCTCAGAAGGTAGATCCAAGAGTGAGCTGGCAGCATCGATCCGTGAAGATGCCTGCCGCTTGTTCATCAGATGGCCATCTGATGAACGTCATGGAGCGTCCACAAGCGTGCGGATGTACTTCGAGTGAGTGCGATGGCCTCACTTGCGGTACGTTCGTTAGCACGACTGCACAAGATTGCAGTGTAGTTGATCACTACACTGTGGAGCAAGCTCCCGGCGGCTGTACAGAAGTACAGGCGGCGCCGAAGGTCCACCACTCGAATAAGTCGAGTGGACCGTTACATGTATGCATGCCTAGCGGGCAGCATCGTAGACTAAAAGAAACCTGTTGCCTTCAAAGGGCAACATGGATATCCTAGGTCGACTGGAGAGTCGACCGTAGAGGATCGGTACATGACTGTGGTTGCACGGTCACAGTCAGAAGACGTCGAGGGAATAAGTCCCCACGTACTTGAGGAAGGAATTCCTCAAGAGTCACTTGCTGAGGGATCAGGCCCTCAGCAACCTGTGGAAGCAAGTTCCCAGGAAGAAAACGAGACGTTGAACGTCTTGGTTAATGACGGATCAAGCGTAGGCGCTTATACGCTTGATATTATTGTGCCTCCGAGGTTAACTTCGGAGATAACTCAGTTGCCAACGCTAGAACCGAAACGGTTCTTGCGTGATCTGCGTAGTGGTAAAGTTAAGCAGATCTGCATACTCGTCACAGAGGATGAGTATGTGGCCGATATTCGGTCGGCAACGATGTTTACTGAGACCGAGAGGGTTCTCAGCAGCTCATCGATGGACGAAAGCGTCATCGATGAGCAGACTCGGATTGAGCGATACACGTCTCAATCCTGGGAGTCACTTCAGGCAAATCCTTTGTATAAGTATTTGATCGAATTCAGGGATGTGTTCCCTGAATCCGTACCTTCCGAGTTGCCTAAGGAAAAAGTCACTCGACACGAGACCGAGCTCAAACCGGGCACGAAGTACTGTGTCATGAAACAGTGACCACTGCCTCGTGAACAAGTACTAGCGATCGACAAGTTCTTTGCCGATCGCTTAGCAGCGGGCCATGTGGTGAAATCAACACCCCCTCACAGCTCTCCGACCTTCTGTGTGCGAAAGGCCACAGGAGGGTGGCGGATAGTGCACGCATTCAACAAATTGAATGCTGCAACGGTACCGGCTCAGACGCCGATACCGAGGAAGGACGTAATCATAGATGGTATGTAAAAGCGTACCATCTTTTCGTCCATGGGTCTGATGGATGGATTCTATCAGATCCTCATGCGTGAACGGGACGTCCTGTTCACAGCAGTGAGCACCCCCAGCGGTATGCTGTGGGAGTGGCTAGTGATGCCACAGGGGCTGAGCAATGCCCATGCAACATTCAACAGATGTGTAACAAATCTGTTGAGACCGGTGCGAGACTTCGCACCGACTTACTTCGACAATTTGTTCGTCCGTAGCCGGGCTATGGACGGA